AGGCACTTTTCCAGGTCCTGGGAGTATAGTGGTGAATTACTGCCGCCATGGAGCTTTCATCCAGAAAGGGCAGACAGATAAAACATACAGGCACAAAAGGGCACATACACCCTCTCAAAACCAGAATGCCGTGTTGCAGATAAAATGTTCCAAGGCAGCACTGTCCAGGTTAAGCGTTCAGAGCGGTCTGGTATCTGCACTGAATATTTCCCTACAATATTGCAGGGAACCTTCTTACAGTCTGCCTCTCATTTACTGCAAAGTTTTTACAAGTAAAATGACCAATACCGTATATGTTCTTGATGTAGAGTGCATTAAGTATTATATACAAAAAGTGTTTCAAATAAGAAAAAATAATTTGTCACAGAAATACTTTAGCAAAGTGATTTACTTTTTCCCCATTTCATACTGTGCATAGGGATATTGTTTTTAAAGCCTAATTAGATAAATATATGATAGTATAAATGAAAGCCAGTGATTGCCTGGGTTAATTTTGTAGCTTACAATTCTTAGTGCCTGAAAAATAATGTGGCGTTTTTACAACATTAATCCATAACATTGCCAGCTTTTTTGTTTTTCTGCAGTAGAATAGTCTCCACTAGTAAAGGAATTTTTAATTCTTGATGTAAACATTAACCTGTGCCATGCAATCTAGTCTTACATTTTCTTCCCCCAGTTGTGGGCTCATTTAATGATAAGGACCCTTTCCTCTCTTTTCCAGGGTGCTGATAAAACTGTGAAAGGCCCAGATGGACTGACCGCCTTTGAAGCCACTGACAACCAGGCAATCAAAGCTCTTCTCCAGTGATGGATGGATGGACTGATAACTTGGGAAGAATGACTCTCCTGTGGCCTCACACTGCTGCCTGTCTGTCTGTCACTCTCTATCTGCCAGCTTCTTCAGCTAAATACTTTAAGAGGGGTGAGGGGAGAGATAAATTCATAACAAATCAGACTACCGGAAAAAAAAAAAAAAGTGTTTTGGAGGAGGGGCAAAAAGAACCATGATCAGGCTTTTACTGGGATTCCTGATCAAGTAAGCCTCTTCCCTTTCTAATACACCTTATACCCAAGGGAGAGCAAAGACAAAATACACCAGTATCATTTGACCTTTTCAGCTCCCTAGCTAATTTATTAATTGATTGTGTTGAAGGTCTGATTCTACAAAGGCCAACTCGACATATTTGGTAGCCCTAACTGTGTGAGCAGTAGTGGCTGCTGTGATGTAAACTTAGGGTGCTGAGATAAGCAATTAGCTCTAGCCTTCTGCCTTAAGAATGCATTCTACTGGGGATTTCCTGGCATAGTTAAGAGCGCTGCCTATAAGGTTGGTGACCAAATCTTTCCTCAGTGACTTTAAGCTTTATGTGAAAGCTTAGTTAAGGTGAGGAGGGGCACACTCCTAAATTGCTGGATGACTGAACTTTGGATTTTCTCTCCCCTTTCACATGGATTTCATGTCTCTTTAGATAAAACTGACTAGTTTTATTTATAAAATCTTAAGTTTTGGAAGTCTAAAGGAGAAACCATTCCAGTATGCATATTTTTTTCTCCTCTAGATTCATACATTTATATAGCATTGAAACACTTTCAAACTCCTGCTGGTAGTAAAAGGGGATTTAAAAATAGAATCATAGCCATAAGCCTGTTAGTATCATATAAAGAGAGAACAGTTATCTTAGTACCTATGGATTTTCTTTATTTGCTGTTTGAATGGATTGACCTTGGTTATGTGTGGAAAATTAAGGAACATTCTTTGGAATGCCTCTCTCAGACCCATCTTGGATGCTGATTACTTATTGCACCAAAGCTATCACTGGGGTGAGATTTACTGTTTGGACAAATTTAGCCCCATCCCTTCAAAAATACACTTGTAACCAGGTTTCCCAGAGTTGTTGATAGGCTTCTGCTGAACATATGCCAACCCACCTGCATAATATATTTTTGTTGCTTTTATAAATCATGCATCGCATAAAGTGTGACAACTTCAGAATGTATTCTCTGTTCTTAGAATACAGTGCCCTAAAATGGTGTTCTTATGACCTGCAGAAAATATTTACACATATTTCCAAATATTTATTTCATGAGCAGTACAGCTAATTAAAATATATAAGCTTAAATTTTATATCTTGCATTTAAAATGTTAAGATTCCTTTGACTTGCCATCCATATAACCTTACTAAAAATATTAAGAGTTTTTTCTTAGCCAAGTCATGCAATAATTGAATGTACCTCAAATTTTTAGAGAGGGGAGGGGGTGGGTTAGGGACTGATACTCAGATTGTGGGTAATAATTGAATTGGTTTTTAAAGGCAACGTAGCATTCTACAGCAGGGTTAAACTATTACCAAGAACAGTCACCCTGGTTAATAACAAGTTTTACTGATCAGTTGCTGATTGGTTGGTTGGCGTGTGGGCGTGTGGGTCTGTAGGTGTGTGTGGGTATGGGTGTGTGTGTGTATCTTTCCCCATGAGCCCTTTTTTTAATCCTGTGGCTTTTTCACTTACAACTAGCCTAACCCTGTAATTTTCCTATATCCAAGAACACAATCACAAAGTAGTGGTTTCAATACTTTGTTGTATTTGGCTAATTTTGCTGTCTTAATGCAGCCTATTAAGAGTTGGGTTAAAAATCAGTAATCAGTACTTCATTACATCACTGAACTAAAATATGGAGACATCCTTATTGAAAAGGGAGGGCACTCTATCAGTCTGTAACTATCAACGTAGTGCAACAGGGTGTTTTGATACCTTTGTTTTCACCTCTTGACATAATGCTATTTAAAGGCTTGAATTTTTTCCCTTTACATAATTTTCACCTTTACTTTCGAAGTGTTTTGTTGTAGTTGGCTATTGCAGAGAGTGCATTGTCCTATCATTCCTAAACCTGGTCTGCTTTCTACATTCATGGTATGGAAACCATGTAATTCTTTGTACAGTTTATCCTGATGTTCCTTGTAATGCAGTAGAGGCTATTTCGCCTTCCCTCTTCTTTCTCAACCTTTTTGTAAACCCCATAATTATGAAGCTATTGCTTGAGAAAATAACATATAAACATAGAATAGAATAGACTGACCAAGATGGTTCACAGTTTCTTTTTTTAACTAGGTTATTTATAATGTATTTCTGAACCACTTGGCAGACAAATTCACAACACTTAATGTTCATATTTTGAGTAAAGGAAGCTAAAACCATGTTTGCTTTCTGGTACTACATGCATTAGCAAAAGGTTAAGTTTTGTTCTCCACTGAAGTAATACTTAACATCTCAGAAAGAATCTTGCATGTTCTGTAGTTTTGTATTAAATCAGTCATTTCATATGCACTATATCAAGTACAAACAGGTAGTTTACCTGTTTATAGTAGTGTACTAACAAAGTCTCCCTTGCAGCTTCAGACTGGTATCTATAGGCTTATCGTTCAAATACAGCACTTGAATATCCCAAGTAGTTCTTCTACGCATAGCTCACCTTTCTAAACCCAGTTAAGCATGGAAGAGAGGTAGTAGGTAGGTGCAGTGTGTGGAAGCTGCAGACAAGTAGGCCTTTTATTCATTGATTTCTTTTCCCAAGTACTGGATTTTAAATCTATATGTATCTATTTGATTTTTTTCCTAATATTTCAATTGAGCTGCTGTTTTCTTCCATGCAATATTGTATACTCAATTGTGTATAGAAGAAGCTGGTGAGAGTGCCCTCCTACATAAATAAGCAATTGCAGTGTTTTGCATGCAAAATATAAAAAATTTAAATTGTCCTGATTCTATTTTGTAAATGGAGAAACAATCATATCTTTCTAAGCAGTAATGGAGGAAGACTAGTGCTTTGTGCATTTTGATATATTTGAGTTCATTTTTTCCACAATGTCATACTTTTGACACAATTGGGTTTCTCATAAGTATCCTAGTTCATGTACATCCGAATGCTAAATAATACTGTGTTTAAGTTTTGTGTTGCAAGAACAAATGGAATAAACTTGAATTGTGCTACAGCTAGTGTGTCAGCAGCATTTTTCTCAGTTACTATCAATTTCGTTTTGTAGTCATCTCTAAAACTATACCAGAAGCTTGATTGACTCAAACATTTAGTTAATCTAAATTAATGTATCCCACTTCTAGAAAAAAAAATGGAGAGAAAATAAAATATAGATTTAATTGAAGTAAACCTTACCAGTCTTTGAAAGGATTTGCTTTTGTGTCAGTCTCCTG